CCCCCCCCCCCCCCAGCAGCCAGCATCCCACCACCGTCTTCCCCACCTTCTCCAAACAAGCTGCTCTCTCCGGGCACAGGGTTGAGCGACGTAGCTTGTTGGGCGAATGCGCCCTGGTCCCCCACCCGGAGACATTTCTCTTCTCTTGCCCCCTCCTGCCCCAGAGGACCTTGACCAGCCAGCTCCGCTCAGACCACACGTGTGGGGCAGTTCGCTGAGGTTGGTTTGAGACCTGTCCTTTCGTGTCCAGACCCTTTTCCATCAGGGACCGTGAAAGGCGCACTCGTTGAGGGCCGAGCAATGGTCAGGACACCAGTGCCCTTTCATGTGTTCCACCTGCTCCCATGGAGACGGAAGTAGGACTTTTAACACACTAGTCGACGCATCACTGTCTGTGCATCTTATGGAGCTGCCCCTGGGATTTTGTTCAGCTGGTCTCCCTGGAGTAATAGGTTTTCTCCAGCAGAAAGCAAAGCTACATGGTGCTCGGGGACCCTGGGCACCCAACCCGCTGGGGGCAGCACCAGGACCTGGCCCGTGGCTGGTACTCCCTTGCCCCAAGCCCAAGGTTTGGAGTGGAAACCTCCCCAGGGGCACCCAAGGCCCCTGGTCCCAGCAGCCCGGGCTCGCTCGGCAGCTGCCGTGGATGAGCCTCCTGCCCTCGCTGAGGTTCAGGCGGCCTTCCCATCCTGGCACACCCACGTCCCGCCACGCAAGGCCCCGCGAGGAGTGAAGTTTGCCGGCATCCAGCGAGGGCTGGCAGGGCTCTGGGCCCTGCTCCCCCTCAAGGCTGTGGTGACTACCCTCAGGGCTGTTGTGGAAGCTTGTCCCTTCCCTCCGACCCCAAGATGGCACGTGCCTCCTCCCGACCCGGCGCTGGTCCTGGGCTGGCTGTCGCCCCCAAGGCCAGGCCTGTTCTCCTCGGTCCCAACTTCAACGTCCCCCCTGAGAGGTAGATCCAAACTCCCCCCCTCTCATCCCCTCGCCTCCTCCCTGGCCCTGAGCACCCGCCTGTGGCCTCGAGGAGGCTGTTGGCGAATGAATGAATGAACGAACTGGGCAAGGAGGTGTATGATCAACCCCACCCGGACCCCGGGGAGGCACCTCCAGGAACCTCCCTACACCCAGAACCTGGCACTGAATGCAAGACAGAAAACCATCAGCAGTGCTTATAATTCTTCTTTAAAAACAAACGAAACCCCCCCCCCCGAAACACAGAACTCCCCATCCCGAACCAGCCAAGCGTGTAACAGGTTAGCGGTTGGCAGAAGAGAGGCGTGAAGTCACACACACGTCACTGCGCAACATTGTGGTGGGCAGCTGGCGTGGCTGGGACCCGCGGAGCAGCTGGGCTGTACGCCACTCCCACAATAAATACACACAGTGCCAACAGCATCCCTTACGCTAGTGAGACGTGACGAAGAAACAAAGCAGAACGGCTGCACACTTGTTACGCCAAAATGTGGCTTAAAAAAAAAAAGTAACCCACAAAGGTGAACGCTCAGGACACTTGTCAGTAGTGTGGTCAGGAGTGGAGTCTCTGCCCCAGAACACAGACACACCTGCCTTCTAAGGGGCAGGCAGGGCGGGGGCCCTGGGCTGCACGGGACCCCACAGCCCCAAGAATCACAGCCTGGGCCCCCCAACCTGCCTTCCCACGTGTTGTGGAGAGCCACGCTTCAGAACCACCTCTGACCTTTCAGTGCGTAAAAGGACCCCGTCACTCCTGCAGGGGGTGGCACCACCCCACTTCCCCAAGATGCACATGGTGGGAAGGCCACTGCAGTCTGGACAGGGACACCTGGCTCCCTGCACTCTGCCAGGTCACATCCAGAGCCAGTGGTCTGACCACGATGCGTCCTAAGTGTCGCCCCGACACCCTGGAGGGAAAGAGGCCAAAATCTGC